AAAAGTATTCTGGATGAATGATTCTAACTTAAAGAGCAACTCCAAGAATCAACAAATTTGACCCTTGGAGTGGGGCTACCTGCACTAAGGCCATCATCCCAGAACTGTATGTTGAGTGTTGCAAATGATGCTGGTATATGGTGTGTACTATTTAAAGGAAACCTGTGCTGAGACAAACCTGGAGGCTATTACTGCTGACCTCCTTATAAAATGTTAGCTGCCTTCTCTAATGCAGATTCTCTGACTTCATCACATTCTGAGCCAGTCACCTCGAACAAGCATACACAAATGAAGTCGGAAACTCCCGATCTGCACGCTTGTCCCAGGTCAATGAGTTAAAAAGACATTAGATGAGCATTTTCAGGAAGAGGTGACAGCAATTTCATCATCCTGGTCTTTCTCAGCACATCGGATGCACTGAATAACCTTCATTTCACAAAACAATAGACATTTTTCCTTAAAAAAAGACATTTCATTATTGCCAAAAATGATCCTTTGGTATATCAATACCCTGCAAACCAAGCAAAGACATTTGACTTGCTTTGTTGAACAGAATAACAGTTTTCAGCTCTACTAACATAGTTATAAAGGCTTCTGCAATAGCCAAATGTTATACTTGATTACATAAAGCCCAACTCCAGCCAAACTTTGTATTTTGTTTGGGATAATACATTTGTGTCCCTACAGAGCTGATTTCACCTCACTTACTGTCAGGACAAAAAGTGGGGCATTTCTCCAATGAACCTGCACCAAGAGAAATATGGAGGCTGTCATGTCTATGCAATTTATGCGAAGCATTGGTTAGCAAGATCAACATGCAAGCAGAGCCATTGCTTGTCCTTGTCCTAAACGCCAATGTCCCGGGTTTCTTTAGGCAATAGTCACATGACCGAAAGTAAAGTGTGCTCTTGGCTTGGAAGTGGTCAAGCATCAAGATACTTCTTATATTAGCATAGCAAATTTGATTGTTACTCAAAAACTGTGAGAAGATTTCTTTCAATATGAACCTATTCCTAGGTTGAGTGGTCAGAAAAATCTGCAGTAAGAGTTGCATTAAAGCGGACCTTTATACTCAAAAATCAAATTCTATCAATGCATCCCTCTATGTATGATGATTACTAATAACATAGACATGTCAGATGTAAAATGCTGTGATTATGAAATATTTACACTTACAGAGCATTCACTTCCTGCTATGAAAGGGCAAAATGACTTCCGTTTGGCAAAGCAATGCACACTGGGATTGCCTTGTCATCAGCAGAGCATTGCTGGGAAATCTCATGAGATCTCAGAGAAAGGCATTTCCCTCCCCTGAGATGATGTGCATGGTCACATGTCCTAGTCACCTGTGCCAGAAATCCAGGAAGTAATAGGAGAGCTAGTCATCTGCCCTTAGTAAACATGGCCATGGTCAGAAGACTGGGAAAGAGAAATAAGTTATACAAAGCCGGCAATTATCTAGAAGTATGTGTTTATAGATTGTCATTACTAAACATTTCTAAAGGTGTCTTTGTTGTTCTTTTAAAGATATAGGTAAAGGTCCGCTTTAAGTCAACATTCCGAGAGACCAGATCAACGATGCTTGCAGATGGCAGCGTGGACGAAAGTACAATGCAGAACCTAGTTGAGTCACAGCTTGGAACTTTGCATACAAGGTGCAGAAGTAATGAGCTCAGATCCAGGTCTGTGCCTGTGCTAAAACATTATGCAGCTTTGCAAGTGAAGGTTTGAAGCTATAAGAAAAAGGCAATGCATCATTGGGGGATCCCTTTCTCTACCATTATATATGTCCCTTAATTTGCCCAAGACCACTGCTGGAAAGAACACATAGGTGCCTCCTGACTTGTAGCAGAGCAGTGCTCAGGATGACAGGTCTGGATGTAGGGAGTATGTCTGAGCTCACTTGAAACCTGCATTGTGAATGTAAGGTTTCAAGTGAACAATGGCAGATCCTATAATTCTAACCTCACAGGTCTCCTTAAAGTGTATGCAAACCCAAACAATAAACTTCTCTTGCTATGTAAATATACCATTTAAACATTTTGTTATATCAGTATGATCAGGGCAAAAATATAGCTGTTGATCTTGCTGGAAACATTGTGATCTAATAACTTCCTGTGCGCTCTGATTGTGCTGATGGTTATCCAATAGCACAGTTCCCAGCTATCTCTGTGGACTACAAAACATCTGCCTCCTATTTTAAAGAGAAGAGGGGTGTGTTCTGTAGCCTCAACACACATCCTGCCCTAGGATTGCAATGCTGCTCCTACAAAGATCTAATACGATGAGCAAGCATGGTCACCCTAGGACAGGAGGTGTGTTACAGGGAGAATCACCATGCAAAATAAAGGAAAGGCCTGAAATAAAAAAAGAATGCAACCACCACATCTAGGGATTGGCAAGGTGCCATATATTACATTTTGGTTTGGGATTTACATACTCTTGTGGGGGAAGAAAGTAACTTCTCCGGCAAGATGGCAAAAAAACAAGCAACAGGCTCTTTCTGTGTAGGGTACAGCAGCGATCCAAACGCTGAATAAGCTGAGCATTTGAAAAGTTGTACACATTGACCTTTGAAATGAAATTCTGATCCCTGCTGGAATGCCTGCATTCCATGAAAACAAGGATTTGGGTATACTGGTGGATTAAAAAAACAAAAACCTATGTTTTAGTAAGCATAACCCACAAGTACAAACATCAAGATAATTACAAGACATTTTTGATCTATTACAAAATATAGGCTCCAATCATTAATCTAACACCACAGCAGAAGAATTCTTATTTTTAAAAATGTGAATTATATTCAGTGGAGTCCGATGAAATGTGAAAGTCACATGATGGTTGTCCCTGTGTAAACAAAACTTATGAGGGGATTTAAAAAAGGGAAATATGCCAGTTTTGTGGTATCAATATGGGCACATTTTCTGTGCACCAAATTACCAATGTGATAAAACAAGTTCTAAGTGGTGCTGCATCAACTAAGCCAAACGATGTTACAAGTGCTATGCGATATACGCTGCAATGGGAATGTGCCTTGGAGACTACGATCTCTCCACAGCAATGGGTACTTATTTGGCAAACAGCCGCTAAGTTCTCTATATGTTCGCTGTATAGAGAGAATCAATATAAAATAATGTATAACTGGTATCATACGCTGAATCTTCTACATTCTCTCTATCCATTGGTATCCCCGAATTGCTGGAGATGCGACAAGTCAAGGGGCTCCCCGTTTCATATTTTTTGGACCTGTCCAATGATACGACCCTTTTGGGAGATGGTTAAGTCCACACTAGAAAATCTGACCCGACAATTCCTCTCCTTCTCTCCTGTACACTATTTGCTGGGTTTGCCATCTTACGAAGAGTGACAACAAGCTAGTAATGCATGCAAAAATGCACATTGCCTGTGTAGGCAAGAATCCTAGCACCGGCACTGCATATATTGACAGCTGCCCGTTGTCTCATACCATTGCAGTGGAAACGAAAACTCCCTCTGTCTAGAATGGAGTTTTATACTCAAGTTAAAGATGACCAGGCAATGGAGTGTTTGACGGCGAGGCTTAATAATACTCTCAGTAAATATGAGAAGGTATGGGAAGCATGGGGTCACTCAGGAGGAACAAATAGGATGATTCATGGCTATATGTATGGGGTACACACCCAGATCAGAGTGAAAATAGATATGGATGTTGCGAACTGAAGCTGACTAAGTTATGTTCTGGGTGAGTACCCCATACATATAGCCATAAATCATCCAATTTGTGGCTGCCTTGGAAGATTATCTCTCTACCTTTCACCTTTTCTTTTCCTCTCTTCTCTCACTTTCTTATGGTTAAAACATGTGGAAAGGAGAATTATGAGGCGAGTGATTTTCACTCAGCCTCATAATCTCAGCCGACCTGTGACAATGAAACAGTCACAGGTCGGCTCAGCAGATTGGGAAGTGAGCGAACACATATCGTCGCTCGCTCACTTCTTGATCTATCCGTGCAGAGCCGTGACCGTCACTCACGACGTCTGCAGGGATCCCCTCCCCTGTCCGATCCTCCAGTGCTGACTGGCGAAACGGACGGGGAAGGGGGCGGGTACAGCTGGCTCTGTCTCTAGATAGGCAGAGCCAGCTGTCACTCACGCAGCTGGGTGGATCCAGACAGAATTGTTGGGATCCGTTCCGGCTGCGGCGTCTCAGTATACTGCGAGCTGTAGCTTGCGGTATACTGAGCTTAGGGTGACTGGAGGACGCTAGTTTGTGTCCTCCCGTTACCCTCAGGAGAACTATGGGGAAAAGCCCTAACCCCATAGCTCTCCTTTAAGACCCGTAGGCGGTTGACAGTTATGGGGCTCCATAAAATGTGAATTGCTACTGAAGATTCATCGCCATTTTCTGTTTACCAGCATTGCCCGGCTAAGGGTTGGTATTGATAAAAGTTTGGACTGAAATGTATGTTCAGACATTGCTTACCCATTGTATTCTGGCCCTTTCATTGTCTGGCTACCTATCTGTTTTGTTGTATGTATGTCTTGTTCCTCTGGATACAATCTTTAATAAAAATTGTTAATTTTAAAAAAAAGTGTTATGCGACACTTTCTATAAAAGTCCAATAGTGTGCGCCAAAATAATAAAGCACTTGCGCCAATGTTCCAATTTAAAAATGATTCTAAAATATACACCATTACCCGAGTGGTGTAAATACTTTAGCGAACAGGGGCAACAGTCACAATCAGCACCAAGCAATGACGGCAGGAGAGGGAAAGGAGAAAAGTTAAGGACGGTTCAACTAAAAGATTATTATTATTATAATAATACAGGATCTATATAGCACCAGCAGTTTGTGCAGCACTTTATAATAATAAGGAAGAGTTACAAGTAGACAAAAAAAAGAAACGAGCAGGAAAATTATATCCAAAAAGAGGAGTTAATAAAGGCTGATTTGAGCAAACTAAGGGCTAATAAGAGGTTAAATAGGAACAATTTTGATTAATAAAAACGTTTTTTTCTTAATTTTCTCAGGTTGTATTAACTGACGTGCAGATTGAAGCTCATCCTAAAAACAGAGTAGATACAAAAGTAACAATGTTACTTTGTATCGATCTCCCATCTGAACACTAGCTATAAACAATGTGTCAGACGGTTATTAACAGAAGCAGCTGAAATAGCTGCTGTATCTACACAGCAATCATTTTGAGAGGTGGGAATTACCTGCAAATACAGGGCAGTAGGGTATCTGCAGTGAGGTAGAGGGACAGGGTTTACTACACAAGTCTTGTGCTCTCCGAAGACTTTTTATGGGCCTATGTAGCACGCCCAATGTCCACAACTGGGTAGTAAACAACTAGCTATAAAAATTGTTTTCCCAATTATCTAACCACCTCAGTTTTTATAGTCTTATCTCCTCTTCATAGTAGTCTCAACAGGTCACCCGCACACACACAAATGAATTCAATATCTCTTGGATATGTTTATTAAAGAATGTCAGGCCATGTCATTAGAAGCTGAAGCTAGCGTTTCAGGACCTCGCAGGGACCCTTCATCAGAGCGACAGGTTCCTGCTGTTCACTTACACATGTTGTCACTATGCCGCATTGATCACCAGAGCACCACCACCATTGGAAGGTTGCAGACCGTAAGGAGTGCAGGTGGTTCTTGGAAACAGTTATCTCCTCTTCATGGTGTCTGACTACAACTGTGCAGTTCCAACGGGCACCAAAGCTTCACTATGTTATCCAGCGCCGCCTGTAACCTAATAGACCTGTTAACCCATCTCCTCCTGTATGCAATATACCTGACCTCCTTTACTACACACTCAGGTGGAAGACAATGTTTGAAGCAAGACAGATGAGAGAGTTGATTTCTGCCTCTTAAACTGTCACAAGCAATGGCAGCTTCCAGATTTCTATCCCAAAAGGTCACTTTTAAATAATCTGTACTCGCATCACTAAGGAGCCTATTTATAACCAATTCACAGGGTCACTTGCCCTGCAAATCTTTCTAAATGTTAATTTTCTGCAAATAGATGTAAAAACGAATATTCTTAGATACATTATTTTTCCAGGAAAATGTATATAATGTAATACCACTTGATGGCCACTAGATGGAGCCGAGGAGCAAAGAAAATAAGTACCTTTACCCATAGCTTTAAAATAACAAAGGCAGCTTTAGAAATGCTTAGTAATGACAATCTACAAACATATACTTCTAGATAATTGTAGGCTTTGTATTCTTTGCATATCTTATTTCTCTTTCCGTCCCCAGTCTTCTGACCATGGCCATGTTTACTAAGGGCAGATTACTAGCTCTTCTTTTACTTCCAGGATTTCTGGCACAGGTGACTAGGACATGTGACCATGCAAATCATCTCAGGGGAGGAAAATGCCTTTCCCTGAGATCTCATGAGATTACAGATGAGATTTCCCAGCAATGCTCTGCTGATGACAAGGCAATCCCAGTGGGCATTGCTTTGGCAAACTGAAGTAATTTACCCTTTCAAAGCAGGAAGTGAATGCTCTGCAAGTGTAAGTATTTCATAATCACAGTATTTTACACCCAACGTGTCTTTAAGAACATTCTATTTTGCCCTATTCTCACAACAGCTGGTTTATTTGCACAGGACGCATGTACACGCAGTTCAACTGGAGGAATAGCTAAGCAAGTTTTCTTTGTTTGATAAAAAGACCTCTAGGTGTATGGGGTAATCTGAGCACCTACACATACAATCCCCATAGGTCTGGTCAATTGTTATTGCATCAATGAGTGTCTGGCCAGCGTAAACAGTTAAATGGTGGCTTGCTATGAATCTGTGAGTGAATGCCTCCCAACTAACAAAGTGAAGTGTGTTGCGATTCTACATTTCTAAACCGCAGTCTATTGGCTTTCAGCAGACAGGTCAGATCTTTACAT